TGTCTACTACAATTGGCTCAAAGACGATTCATTCATCTACCTGGTTCTTTATGTAGATGATATGTTGATAGCTGCAAAGCAGAAGTATGACGTCCATAAGCTGAAGGGTTTACTTAGTGCTGAGTTTGAGATGAAGGATCTGGGAGCCGCTCGAAAGATTTTAGGGATGGAGATCATTAGAGACAGAAAGAAAAGGAAACTTTTCTTGTCACAGAGAGGTTACATTCAGAAGGTCTTGACAAGGTTTGGCATGTCTTCATCTAAGCCTATTGACACTCCCAGTGCTGCCAATATACATCTCACTGCCATGTTTGCTCCACAGTCAGAAGAAGAGAAGGAGTATATGTCACGAGTCCCTTATGCTAGTTCTGTAGGAAGTTTGATGTATGTTATGGTCTGTACAAAGCCAGATTTAGCACATGCAGTGAGTGTAGTTAGCATATTCATGGGACAACCAGGGAGAGAACACTGGCAGGCTGTGAAGAGGATTTTCCGGAACCTTAGGGGTACATGTGACGTTGGTCTCATTTATGGAGGTGATACTCAGTGTTTGGTTACATGATTTTCTGATTCTGACTATGCTGGAGATGTTGACACGAGAAGATCGATGACTGGCTATGTGTTTACTCTTGGAGGTTCTGTTGTTAGCTGGAAGGCAACTTTGCAACCTACAGTGACTTTGTCAACTACGGAAGCAGAGTACATGGCCTTGACAGAAGCTGCAAAGGAGGGAATTTGGTTGAAAGGGCTGGTTAGTGATCTTGGTTAACATCATGATAAGGCTACAGTGTATTGTGACAGCTTGAGCGCGATTTGTTTAGCCAAGGATCAAGTTCATCATGAGAGAACCAAGCATATTGACGTGAGGTATCATTTGCTGAGGAGTGAGAGGAGAATCGAGGTGAAGAAAGTAGGAATTGCTGATAATCCTGCTGATATGTTCACAAAGCCGGTTCCGCAAAGCAAGTTTCAACACTGTTTGGACTTGCTTAACATCAGAAGCTGTTAGTTGCCCTGTGGGGCAATTTTGAGGAAGAGGGGGAGGGCTGGCACAACCATAGTGCGTCTGAAGAATCTGTATGGAGAATTCAAGTCAAGGTGGAGATTTGTTGTAATGCCTTGAATCTGACCCGTTACAGTAGGGAGTACGGGGGTCTTGCCCTGTTAGTTGCACAATGTTGATGTATTGGGCTTCTAATTATCTGTTAATTCTGTAGTTTGGGGCCCAAGTCTGTTAGGGTTAAGCCAAGCACTATTTATATGGGTGCTACCACAAACCTTATGTTGTATTCTGTTTTTGCCTCTCCATCCGAAATAAAACTGCTCCCCCTCTTCCCCGTGGACTAGCCAACACAACGTTGGTGAACCACATTAAATCTATTGTCGTGTTTTTCTCGTTTATATATTTCTTATTCTCGAATTCCGTATAACAATCTCTGATGTAATTAAGCGAATACAATGGTGGTAACATTAATATTTTGAGTGGCATGAAGTTGCTTCCATCATCATCATCATTATTATTCAATAAAAATAAAATTGTCACTGAAAACAAAATAGTCAAAACCAAATTACACTAGAGGGATGAAATGAGTGTATTTACTAGTAATCATCAACAACTATAATTAATAATAGCAGGAGTCGGAGCCATATGGAGGCTAGGGATAAGTTAAGCTAAGTGGTGAGGATAGGGGAAGAAAGTCAGCTTTAGACCCAAGGACACGAGCCTTGGTGTCAGGAAAAAACTCTGTTCCGGGCAGCTCAAACACGACGCCTTCGCTGCTGACTCCGATGTGGTACCGGAGAAGATGCCCGGGCAAGTCCCTGTCGAGACTATTGCCGGCGTGGAGGTCCCAGTACTTGTCTGCTTGAGGGAAAACAACACTTAAGTGTGTGAAATTTGATAAGTCTGTTTTGTACGTACTTATCTTCTCCGTATTTAATGTGTTATTGTCCACTTTTGGATCAACCAAGACAATTTCTCAATTATTTTTATAAGTTTTTGTTTATAATTGTAAAATTGAACAAAAGTTATGTCTTGTAAAAATAATAAAAGTTAAGTCAAAAGTTCTACAAAAGAGGATGAAAGTTAGAAAATACATAGCTTCAAGAGAATTGAGGTCAAACTTGAAGAAAATTGTTTCAAGATAAAGATCACAGGCCAAAAAGAGATTGAATTAGGTTTTGAAGCAGAAAGAATTGAAGCAAATGTTGAAAAATAAAGTTTTGGACCGAAAAGCATCTCAGGCCCAGACAGCCTCCGCCTGGACCTCAGACCCACGTCTGTTGGATCCCTGGACCTCTGACAAATGCATATCTCAAATTCAATCACGGAAAATCAAGAATCTAGCTCAGGCCTCTGCCTAGACTTATGTACCTACTAAGAAATGTGCTGACAAGCCCAAGCCTCGGCCAGACCCCACCTAGGCCCACGCCTAGACCTCAGGCCTTGGCATGGATATGGACCAAATTTCTCCTAAAAAGGAGGGTTTCACCCCTCCATTCTCCAATCAACCAATTTCGGATCTTCTAAGTCCTGGATCGGACCTTCTCTCTAGCTCTTGTTCTCAATTATATTTTAATATTTTAGTTTAGTTTTGTTCCGGTTGTCTCAATGTGGCCGGCTCTGCTCTCGGATGTAAGTTTAGTTTTACAACTTTTAATAAAATGTTCTTCTTTTTTATGTACTGTTAGTATTTAGTATGGGTTAGAACTTGGATTAGAGTCCTGGCTAAATTTGGGTATATACTGTGTGTGTTTATTTAATAATTGGAATAATTGTTCTAGAACTATTTTTATTGTTAAATTAATTAATTATGTCAAGAGAAAAATTAATTAATCTATGGAAATTAGTTTTTTGTCTCTTCTATGAGAATATAAAATTAAGCCAAACATTTTAGAAGACATTAATCATACCTTGAGAGAGGATAAGTTAATGAAATACTTGTGACTGAAATATTATTATTCCAATTATGGATTAAATATGTGACAACAGTAGTTAACTCAGATGATGTCTTGGCCCAAAGTCTAGTCTTATACCCGTATTTTTTTAAAAAAAGCACCTAGTAGTGTCGTATTTTTATTTTCAAATCAAATCTAGAACACTTTTAGACCCGTCCTAATCTCTGCCTAGTTAGAAAAATTAACTAATTCCCTTAGAAAAACTGACCCTTCATTGGGAAGGTTGACTGCCACTAAAACTCCACTATCAGTTTGCCTTAGGCCTCGTTCCATTCAACTTATTTTTTCTGCTTTTTTTTTATTTTTATTAAAATCAGATCAGATCTAATCAGATCAGATCATATCAAATCTCATTAGATGAGATCAGAGCAGACCAGATCAGATCAGATCCAATCAAGAATTATTATTATTATTATTATTAAAAATGAAAAAGAATAAACTTTAGAAACAAGTTAAATAGAAAACTAAGAAAGTAATCCTTAATTATTAGACGCTAGAAAAATTATTTTTAAAATACATAGACAATGCCAATCTAATTCTACTTTTGAAATGCATTTTTATTACTACTTGTAATTTGAGTTTCTAAAGTTTTGATCTTTTACTACATCGAGTTGATCAGTGTTGCTCATGACTTAAATAAAATTAAAATTTGATATTCATATACGGAGTATATTTTAGTGTAATTGAAATAACTATTATATCTATGGTGTCATACTAATCATAAATATGCCCCATATGAAAATTGAATATCAATTGGCTATTATGGTGTCAACATTTATGCTTCATAATTTTATTCGGCTTCATGAGTTAGGTATCTCTTTATATGCTGGAGTTGACGTTGAACCGCAAAGTGATAGTACTATGTTCAACTCAGAACGCACGACCCAAATGGATACATTATTCCAATATTCTTATTTCATAAAAAAATAATCATAAAATTAAAAATATTATTACATTATAATATGAACAATTATTCTAATATATGAATTAACTAATTTTATTTCATTAAAAAATAATCATAAAATAAAACATATTGATTATATTATAATATGAATTATCACTACAATTTTCAGAAGTTATTAATAAAGTGAGATCAAATTAATGATTTGAATTTTAAATCAAATCATAATTAATTAGATCCAATCAGATCAGATCAGATCAAACCCAATCAGATCAGAACTACAAATAATCAGATCATATTAGAAAAAAAAAGTTGAACGGAACGGAGCCTTAGTCATTAACTAACCCTTTGAACTAATACAAATCGACCCACAAGTAACAATATTCACATTCATTTATTAAATTAGTCATATCATTCTAAGCACATGTGGAGGACTAAATTCTCTATAATATTATTTGATTTTCTTAAAATAATTAATTTGTCATAAATAAATACTCCCTCCGTCCCAAAAAGATTTACACCTTTCAAAAAAATTGCGTCCCACAATCTCTTACCTATTTCTATTAAAAACCCACTTTTAGCCCTTACTTTTTCAAACCCTACCTATCACATCATACCTTTTTCCTAATAATCTACACATCACATCCTACTTTTACCCATCACATCAAGGGTATTTTTGGAAAGTCAACACAAAATTATCTCTCCCTTAATTTCAACTTTAGTCAAAAGGTGTAAATTTTTTTGGGACGGAGGTAGTACTACTCATTTATTCAGAAAAAGCGATAAACTTCTAGATTTGTTTCTTGGGCCTTGAATGATCAATCTAGATCCTATTTTAAGAATTATTCATGAAACAAATCTCTTGCCCTCAAAAATGATGATAGCGTTTTCAAATCAAACCTAGGGAGAACCAATGTCTTAATTGCACTACCTTTTTGTAACAAAATTTTCGATTACAAATTGAGATTGGAGTAGTATATTTTGGATATCTCTAATGTAAATAAGAGAATACAATGGTGGTGACATCAATATTTAGAGTGGCATGAACCTGCAGCTTCAATTCCATCATCATCATTATTATTCACTAAAAATAAAATTGTCACTGAAAACAAAATAGTCAAAACCAGATTACACTAGAGAGATGAAATGAGTGTATTTATTAGTAATCATCATCAACAACTATAATTAATACTACTATCGGGAGTCGGAGCCATATGGAGGCTAGGGATAAGTTAAGCTAAGTGGTGAGGATTGGGGGAAGGAAGTCAGCTTTAGACCCAAGGACACGAGCCTTGGTGTCCGGAAAAAACTCAGTCCCGGGCAGCTCAGACACGACGCCTTCGCTGCTGACTCCGACGGGGTACCGGAGAAGATGCCCGGGCAAGTCCCTGTCGAGACTATCGCCGGAGTAGAGGTCCCAGTACTTGTCCGCAATGTCGTTCACCTTGCGAACACACTCCTCGCTCTCTGGCCGCAGAAAAGAGTCGTCCAGCATGCCGAGGTGCTCGTACCACAGCCCCATTCGGAACCCGTGAACCTCTCCCCTCGCAGGCTGCCTCCCGCTTGCCAAGTGGTTTGGCTGGTACGCTCCCATGGCTATCTCTGAGTCCCTCGCCCCGTCCATTGATCTCTGGTTTATGTTTGCTGATCCCACAATGATGTACTCGTCGTCAACTGCAAAAACTTAACTGTTATATAAATCCTTTTTTGTATTTTGAAAAAAAGGAAGAGATCGAGAGCCTAATAAATAAACTCACCGATCATCATCTTGGAGTGAACATAGATCATGAAGCGACGAGCCTTCTGAGCCCTGGCGTAGTCTGAGTCGGGTTCGGGGCTCTCAGAAGGCTCGTATTCGCCACTCTTCTTGGCCTCCCGATTCCCGACGCAGAAGAAGGTCAAGTAACTCCTTGGGTCCTCCTCAATTCCCCTGGCTCTCATGGCTTGGAGAATGTCTCTGTACATCATCTGCATCGTCCTCCTCTGCCAGTCTAATATGGCTTGAACCGACGAGCTCTCCGGGATCCCTTCTGGCCACATTGGGACCAAAACGTAGACGGCGAACCGCTCTCCTGCCTCAATCTTGCTTGCAATCTTCAAAGACAGCTCCTTTGGGACTAGGTGGAGCGCACCGATTTCTGCCGTGTTGATGTCGTCCGAGTCCCAACCGAAAGAGCTTCCCAGGAAATACTGGTTCTCAATGTATATGAAATTCTTGGCCCGGCGAATGGCGTTGATATACGCATCCTGGATGCTTCTGTCGATGATGTTGTCTTTCCCGCTGACCAGGCCCGCCTTTGCCGCCTCCTCGGGCGAGTCGGGGAACCCGAAAGCCGCCCCGCCGTCAATGGACCTGAACAGCTGGACGTTCCACGTGTCACGGTCCTCCGGGAAAGTGACGGGAGACGGCGGGATGATGACTCCGTCCAGCTCTCGCAAATCGAGAATCACGTCCTTCCCGCCCTGCTTCTTCCATCTCTGCTCGAAGTTGTAGAGAACATCCCAAGCTACAGGCCCTTCGAGCCTGGAGTGGATGTCGTGCCAAGGCTCCCGCGGCCCGCCCTTCGCGACGGAAGCCCCCGTGAAATTCGGCTGGTGGAAATCGTCGTGGTGGGCGGTGTCCAGCGTCCTGAAGAGAGAGTGGAAAGGGGTGTCGTACCTCCCGTCGCACAAATCAAGACCGCCAACGAAGCTCACAATCCTCCTCCTCCGGCTACTACTCCCCGGGGACGGCATTTCATGATCCACCACCACAATCTTCTGGTGATGGGTGAACATAGTAGATATCTGCAGATCCTGAACAAAGCTCCCTCCATTGTCCGGATTCCTAGGGCACAATATGCAATTCACGTCCGTCCCTTTGAAGAAATTCTCCGTTTCTTCATCGTGGGTGGCCATCAAACCATCCTTTTTCAACTGACCCACAGAGGTTCTATCATCCCAAACCAGCATGCACACTCTGACCCCGTCACTCGCCTTCTTCTTCAGCAGCTGGCCCAGCGTGGTTTCTCCGCCGGGCTTCGCCCTCCTCGAGTCCCTCACGAGTGAAATCTCAGTGTAAACAGACCACCCCGTGATGTAAATCAAGTGCTTGGCATTGGTTATGGCGTCAAACACGTCTTCCCAGCATCTGTGTGTCTCGTAAGACTTGCCCCCCGAAAGGGCTATTTTGGGGATGAATTTATCGGGGACATGGGCGTCTTGGTACAGAGTGACCCGGCACCCTTTCCTCTGCCCGAAGAAGGTGTAGGGAACCCCGGGGAACTTTCCGCTCCTTATTCCGCCTCCCCAGTTTCTGTCCCTGGAGACGTCGAAGAACTGGAGCTTGACGTGGATTTTGGAGCCTCCCTCGACGGGGTTCTTGTCTTCGTCCACAATCTCCACCCACCGGTCCATTTCTTCCCCGTCAAGGAGTTCTCGGACAGGGACGTAGGCGCGCCCAATCAAGGTCGCGCCGATGGGGTTGTTGTCCTTAACGGTGAATATGACATTGTTGGCTGTGTGGGCGCAATAGATGTGGAAGGACTCAAACCACTTGGGGTTGTTGGGTTCTTGAAGCATTCTGGTTCTCCCCACCCTTGCCTTCTCAAGGTCTATGGTGGCATACAACTTTGGTGTTCCTTTCCCAATGCCAACGGTGTCCTCAACATGCTCCATTATCTGCAAGGAATTTTTTTAAAACTTGGTTTAAAAGTATTACTTGTACCATGTTAATTCGATCTGGGCATTAATAATATGGATTCCCCAATGAGTCCAAATCATAATCATCAATCTTCTTATTTCTATGCTCCATAAATTTTCAAACAATTTTTATATCAATAATGTTATTGGCTAAATTCACCATTGGTCCTTCAACTTTATCAATTGTGCACGATTGGTCCTTCAAGTTTTAAAAGTTCATAAATAGTCCTTCAACTTTATGAGTTATGCACGATTGGTCCTTCAAGTTTTAAAAGTGCATAAATAATCCTTCAAGTACACGTCAGCCCTCCAGATGCGATCCTTTGACAGTAAATGTTAAAAGCTAAATGGAATACTAGTTCCATATAATATGGAGTAGTTGTACCTAGTGGAATTTACTCGTATTATATGAAACTAGTATTTCATTTAACTTTTAATATTTACTTTAAAAAGGACTTTATATGGATGGCTGACGTGTACCTGAAGGACTATTTATGGACTTTTGAAACTTGAAGAACCAATGGTGCAGAACTCATAAAGTTAAAGTACTATTTATGGACTTTTGAAACTTGAAGGACCAATCGTGCACAACTGATAAATTTGAAGGACCAATGGTGGATTTTAGCCAATGTTATTTGTACATTTTCAAAAATCATGCTATTTGTACATCATTTTGTACTTCCCACCAGTACTTTGATGATTCACATTTATACAAAATATCACTGCATTTGCGAAATTTTGCACTAACATTTTGTGTTAATGTAACCAATCAAACTGTTGGTGCAATGTTGTTGTTGGTGCAATATTGTTGCGTACAAATATACTCACTTGGTCCAATCTTAGGAAAAGTTATTTTTAATACTACTCTCGTGCTGGATATTTGTCCAGCATTGACTTTTTTATCGGTCAACTATTTTCAATCTTTGACCTATAACTAAATTTTACACACACACACGCATATATAGTATATTGTATATTAGTTAGATAAAGTACGGAGTAATAGTTTGAAAAGATTTTATATGATAAATCTAATAAAAATATTTTTCTATCAAATCTAATACCGTTTTATTCAATCTAAGGTCAAAGTTAAACAATTTTGACCAAAAAGTAAAAAATGGACAAATACTCATGGACAGAGAGCGTAAATTTTAAAAAATAATGGATAAAGTACTGTAGAGATCCGTGTATTATTATTGCAAAATGTTCAAATTAGTTCATGTATTTAAAATCGAAGCAATTTAGTCCATGCACTATTCTTTTATGTTCATCCAGTCAGTCTCTTCACTTTTCTCTTATTTGGTGCCCCAAATTCATAGCGACGACGTCTAATTTTCAACCTTGTGGTCGTGGGTTTGGGCCCCACGGTGGGCGCCAAATGATGATGTTCATTGCTTTGACTGGTTTTATCATTTTTATTGTGTAAAAATGATAAGTGGGCCTAACAATCACCAAAAATACGAACAAACTATTTTTGACGTGGAAATCCAAATCGGGAGAAAACCACTAGCCTTTTTGGCGGTACCATGCCAATGAGAAGATTCTATTAATATCCGAGATTGTACATAGTACATAATATTTACATTGTAGCCATTGATGAAGCGTTTAAGCTCTATGAATCAGAAATAATACAATAAGTATTTTCTAAGGGATATAGCGTCTCTACTAATAGGAGTGTGATTTTTGGCCTCTCCCCTATTGAAAGTGAATGGTCTTTTTTATAGTGAGAAATGGAGAGAGTAATTATGGAAATGATATGATGGTGGAGGTATTTTAAGAGAGAAGTAAATGGTGGAGGTGGTTATGGTATGGAGGAAATGATGGAGGTGGTTATGGTATGGAGTAAATGGTGGGGGTGGTTAGGGTAGGGAGTTGACTAGGGTGATGGAGTAATTTGTGAGAAGTAATTGGCCATGGTAATTATGATAATATTAATTGGAAAATAACTGGAATACGGACCGAGATTTCCGGGCCAGATAATATTTCCCATCAACTATATATGACATAAAACTCTTGTATTGACATCTAAAATTCATACTCTGCTACTTATTTTTCAATTTTAAGTTACTAAGAACAATATACAATATATTTCTTTATTTTCCTTTATGAAAAAATTTAGGGATAAAATTATTTATTTTATAATGATTAAAATTAGATTAAAATTATGAAGTGTTGCTAATTAATATTTTCCTGTCATCTATAATAAAATTTGTTATCATCGCTAAAAACTTGGGGCAATATATAAGAGACAAATGAAGAGAAGGACCTCATTGAACAAAAAAAATGTATAATGACTAAATTGCTTTGAGTACAGTGACTAATTTTAACATTTTTAGATAGTACAAAAACCTCTAGAATACTTTGTCCTAAAAATATGGGTATGAGGATTGATTCTATTGACTGGCCTCGGTAAATACTAGAATGCCACTGTATTTTTGGGACATATGTCGTGCCCTGCCCGTAAAATTTATGAATCCTACTCCTCTAACTTCTTGGTGAATCAACCCTCCCTCCCACCCTCCGAGCTCGACCCATGCCAAACCTACCACAACACATTTATTGCGATCCCTAAATGTAGTTGACTTTAGGGTCGAATTAGATTCTCACCTATTGTTACAAAGAGTAAAAAAGTAAAATTATTTGGATGAGAATTATACAAGGAGAGGGAATTATTGTTGACCATCCATTTAATTCTTTAAATTAAAGGAAATGAAAAATTTATTTCTATATAACCACAAAAAGGAAATTGGGAAGTTTATTTTTGGACAAAACTAGTAATAAATTACTTTATATGTTCTTGAATAAACCTCCATGTTACTTATGGTGCTAACTTTAATTTTTTTATTTTTATATTTTTATTGATTATTTGATAAATAAAGTGTTTTTAGGGAAAAAGACTAAAGTAGGAGAAAAACATTGAAAATATACCAAAAATAAGAATTTTATATTTTTTCATAAATAGGAGTTAAAATGCGTATACAGTGTCAATCATGACTATATACATTACTAGAGAATATTGGGAAATGTTCATATATATTATCAGATTACCACAGTACAAATTCCTATTTTTGAGATAAAAACATGAAATTTTCATTTTGGTACTTTCTCAATAGTTTTTTACTCTTATTTATGATGTTTTCTTATATTTTAATCACATCTTGTTTTATACGGAATAGAACTTTTAATACTTTTGTTAAAGGAAAGAGAATATTCGTATATATTTTTGGTATATATTATTTTTGGTAGCTTCCTTGTATAGGGTTGATTTCGTTTCCTTTTGTGTTTACGTTTCTCAACCTGTGAGAGCCTATATATACATGTCTACTTTGTAAATTGAAGACGAGAAATCTAGAGAGAATTTCCTCCCAATTCATTATTCTTTCATGGTATCAGAGCCAAAACCCTAGAATTTTTCTGTGACTACTGTTCACGATCGCCCGGCATGGCGTCCATCGATCGTTGCTCTGTTTTAGTCGATTGTTGCTGTTGCCGGATAACGGAACGGTCGACCGTTGCTCTAGAACGGTCGAGCACGTCGACCGTCCCGTCGGAAGACTGTTTGATTGATGCTGCTGTTGATTCTTCTGCCACCGCCGTACGCCACTCTGCTACCGCTATGGCCGATGAACAACCAAGGAAGATGTTTTTCTCCCTATCATCGTGTGTTTCTAGTATGAAGCTTTCAGGTATTCCTGTGTCACCGCGTTGGATCATAGATACTGGGGCATCGAATCATATGACTGGTGATATTTCGTTATTGCATGATGTCGTGGGAATATCACCATGTGAGATTGGTTTGCCCAATGGGAAAAGAATTGTTTCTGTACAATCTGGGAAGATTAAATTAACAGAAACATTAATTCTGCACGATGTCCTATATGTTCCTACTTTGAGTTGCCATTTAATCTCTGTGTCACAATTGACAAGGGATTCGAATTGTGAGGCACGTTTTGCCAACAATAAGTGTATACTACAGGATCTGTGTTTAAAGACAGAAATTGGTATGGGTGAGCAGGAAGGAGGACTTTATTACTTCAAGGAGCCTGAAAAGAAGATGGTGTGCAGTGCGAAGAAGGAGAGTAAGTTTGATCTTTGGCACAAACGACTTGGACATCCTTCCTCCCATGTTTTGTCTCTTGTTC